CAATTTGAGAATTAAAACAAGGCAGCTTAAAATAAAGAAATTGATAAAGTCAAAAGCAGCAGCAAGAAAAACTAACAACCAAAAGAGAAAATACATTGAGGCAACAGATATTTACAGAACACACCTACATCAGGATACTACAATACATAACTATAAACTTAATAATGTATGCCCGGAAAAAGACATTATAGTTGTAATAAAAGTTAGACGTTTATGCCCTAGCTACCAAAAAACTTCACCAAAAATCAAACAGGCAGTTGGAACAATCACCATCATTGGGATTCAAAAGAGACTGAAGAGAGAGAGCTGCTACCTCAGCTTCATTTGAGAAACATCATGGAGCTCAGAAATAAAGATGGAGAAGGAAGGGCGATTAGGAGCAAAAAGAGAAAGGATTTACCCGACTTTCTTGCACAAAGAACTTCAAACTTTTTACATCAGTTTTTTGAGGATAAACTCTGATCACCTAAACAGATGAATCTTGAGTCATATAAGAAAGGGAGAAAGGACAAGAAAATGATGGAAGTAGCCTTACCATGTAACGGTGAGGATGATAGGAAGAGCTTCCACTATGAAATGCAAGGCTCGAGCTTAAAGATGACCTACACTAGGAGTCAAAACAACTAAGAATTCTTCCGACAACAAATCAACATCTTAGGGAAACTGTGGCAGAGAATGAGAAGTATTGAGTACTCTCCTATTAGACACAAATATAAATTCAAATTAGGAAACCTAATGTGTTGTCTTTGCTTTTGGGCCTTGGGCCTCGTTTTGTTTAGGTTGTTCACTCTTTGCTTATTAATAAAATACATATATGAACCGAATAATTCACAAAAAATATACTTCTATACAATATTATTTAGGTTGTAGTTTTTCTATTTTTTTTAGACTATTAAAATTGATGGAGTGAAAAAAAGTAATACAATTTGAGTAGAAATGTGGAATTAAATTATTATTTCTAGATAATTCTTATTGAAATTTAAATTTTCATAAAAAAAAATTAAAATAATATTTAATTTTATATATAAATATATATATATATATAATAAAAAATTAAATTATTTTTTTGTGCTGACACGTGACACTTTTTACTTCTCTTATATATATAGAGTTGATATTTATTTTAATCTTTATTTTTTTCCTTTTTAAATAATTTATTTTCAAATTTGTTTTGTTTTTATCCTATTTTTTAGAGTCTTGTAACCGATTTTAACTTCTTCTTTTTTAATTTATTGATCTAGTTTATATTAATTTTTTAAAATTATTTTTGGTTAATTGTCATTGTTTTTATATTTTATGCTATAAACAATTGATTTTTATTTTTTTAAAATTTTAATTTAAAGAGCCTTAATTTTAAAATGCCAAGTGATTTGATATTAGGCTGCCACTTGGCAATTTCTAATGCTTCTACCCTTGATTTAATATAGATGTAGAAGATTTTTCAAGTCAATAAAAGCATGCTGACATAGAAATGTTTATCAAGTGGAATGATGCATCTTTGTAAACATAAAACTTATTTTATTTACAATCTAGACATTAGAAGATGTCTTGCATTTAATATTAAATCTTGATACATGACAAAATTGAAATGAAAAATCCTTAAGGATTCAAAATCTAAAGTATATGTCCCTTTTTGAAAAACTTGTTTATAATCCTTATATGAATTAAATCAATCAAGAACCTTTTAAATTGTTATGAAAGTTGATGACTTGAATTGAAAATTTTGAAGAGTTTCTAAAGTAATAAATTATTTGCTTAAAAAGTTGAAGTGAGGAACTTGCAAAATTCTTTGATCCTGAAGAGATGATTCATAAAAGGAGATAGAACAAAGCACATTTCTCCGAAGCGTTTCTACACACATAAGCTCCAAAAAAATGATGATATCAATGTGCAACAGATTCGTTTGAGTGATAATCTGAACGATTTATTCACCAAGTCTTTAGCAACTACAACTTTTGAGAAGATGGTGCACAAGCTTGTAATGCGAGGATTCAAGTTTTTGGATTGATATTCTCATTAGGAGGAGTTAATACGTGATGTACTCTTTTTCCCTCACAAGGTTTTGTCCCATTAGGTTTTTCTTGTAATGTTTTTAATGAGGCATCCAAGATGCGTATTATTAGGTATGTGTACTTTTTTTTCTTCATTAGAACTTTTTCCCACTGAGTTTTATCTAGTAAGATTTTAACAAGACACATAATCTATCAAATAGACATTCAAGGAGGAGTGCTATAACATATTTGTATTATAGTGAATGTCTTTTATGTAGATTCGTTTGGATAAAAGTAAGGAATCCAACTTAGTGGCCAAGTCAGTTTTCCCCTATAAATAAAAGGGTTTTCGTCATTGTAAATAAGTTGAATATATACCTCAATACCACAATATCCCTTCAAGAGTAATAAGAAGCCTTCTTTCTTCTCCCTACTACTTCCTTCTTATTATTTTATATAGTTTTATAACAAATAGTAATATATGTATTTATTTTTATTTTTAGAGCTTGTTTGGTTTGGCTTATAAGTTGGTCAAATTAAACCTTCTTTAAGTTATTTTTAGCTTTTGGGAGTGTTTGACAAAGTTAAAAATAACTTAAAATAAGTTTAAAATGACCTTAAAAAAGTTAAAAGTTAAAAGTTAAAAGTGGGTATTCCCTTACTTTTCATTTTTTAACAAGAAAATACATAATTACCCCAGTAAGACCTATTTTGAATAAAAAACACACTTGAACTTTGCGGGGATTCTATTACCCCTTTTTTCTTATTTAGAATCAATTTATTATCCCATTACATGCCTAAGTGGCATGTAGAATGTAGTTTACTTTCTGATAGCGAGTGAGCTGAGCCAAAATTTAAATAAATATTTATTTAAGCATTTATTTAATTAGAAATGTTATTTTTTTCTTTTATTTTTTTTTATTGTACTTTCTCAATTCTTTATTTTTGCTATCTTCTTTTGCATAACTCAAAAGACATAACTACCTTTTCTCTATCTTCTTCAATTTAGAAGACCCATTTACTTCACTCTTTTTTTCCTTGTCTTCTTGCTTTTGTTTGTTCCCTTTTCTTCTTCTATTCCTTCTTCTTTTTTTCAAAAATTAATAATTGTGAACCTCCTTTGTTGATATTGTTCTTTTTAAAAAGATAAATAAATTGTTATATAGTTCTTTAACATGTAAATAATGAAAATTTCTTCAATTTGAGAATATTATAGAATTCTATTACCTCTATCGTAATGGAGTTCCACTGCATAATTGTTGTAATATTGAAAAGAAGATGGTAGATTGGAGGTGATTATTAATTTTTAATTTTTAATTTGATAGTAATTTTATTTTTGATTTAACGATGATTTGATAATATAAATGGTGAACGATGGTATTCTAACAATGATTTGATGGAGGCTATGTCGGAGGATTGGTGGCGATGGCCGCTATGTCGAGGACTAAGGGTGATGATGGCTACATCGATAACTGGCAGCGAAGAAGAGAAGAGAAGTAGTGAAGAAAGAAGAATAAAGAGGGAAAAAAAGGAAAAAGAACATGGAGTTAATAAGAAAAAACAAAAATGAAATTAAAGATTAAAATTTAACACGTGACAGTAATAATTGGTGTGTGATTGCACTTCTTCTCTTGCAATTGAGGATGGCTAAAAGTGAGATATTTGCAACACATTAAAATTGTTTAAGGGGGTACTAGTAGAGGTGTCAAAAGAATATGAAAAATTGACAAAATTGAACATAACCGTACCAAACCGATTTAGATCATTTTCAATAAAACAACGGACTTTTATTTAAGTGTATATGGTCTATTTAATTTATAATAAAAATGAAAAGAATTTCGAACCGAACCGAATAACCTTACATGTATGTAAATATATTTTATACATTAACAATATGTTGAATTCAATATATAAATATATTTTATAATATTTTTCAAATATAAATATAACCTAGGTCCTAGATACTATAATAGATAACACTCCATCAAACAACAAAATCTATGTAAGCACTCCAATTAAATGTTCAAGATAAAAAATACGGCAACAAGGTTTTACATTTTTAACATCTTGATGAAGAATTTAAGTGCTTAGAACATACTTGTGAAAGAAATATTTTAATAATAATATATTTTGAGGTGATACTTTAAAAGTACAAAAAAGCGAAAATTAATAGAATCGTACCGATACCGAAGAGAAATCGATATGATTGAGATGATTTTGAAAAATAATAATTTAATTTTGGTTATACATTACAAAATACCCAAAAAATTAGGATGATATAATTTTTTAAAAATAACCTATCAACCGTTTCATTGACACCTTTAGGTACTAGGATCCCCGCAAAGTTCAAGTGTCTTTTTAAAAAACAAGTCTTACTTTAATAGGATAGTTATGTATTTTCTCTTAGAGCATGTTTGGATTGACTTAAAAGTTGATCAAACTTACTGATAAGTCATTTTTAGCTTTTGGAAGTGCTTGGCAATATTAAAAATTGCCTAAAATAAGTTTAAAATGACTTTAAAAAAGTTATAAATAAAAAGTAAGTCTCCCCTCCTTTTTATTTTTTGATTTAATGACTACTTTGTTAAGTCAATTCAAACGAATTTTAAAACTAATTTTAAGAATCTATTTTTTTAAGTTAAACCAAACGGACTCTTGAAAATAGAGTAGAAAGTACAATTGATTGAGTCTTGGACGGAGTATATATATATATATATATATTCTGTTGTTTGGTTGAGAACAAGTTATCTCAAGATTAGTTATCCTGGTTAGCTATCCTGGGATAACTTATCCCACCATATATATGAGATAACTTATCCCATCACTATGATATAAATTGTGGAATAAGTTATCCCATGACAATTAAACAAAATACAAAAAATTTATTCCATCACTTTTTTCTTATCCCATCACTATTTATTTTTATACCTCATTCCAAACTACCCCTAATATATAGAGAAGATAATATGTGACCTTGGTAACCAAGAAAAAAAGAAAAAAAGGGGTAACGAATATTTGATGAAATTAACCCCCAAATGACACAATTTATCTAGTTTAATTAGCATCTCTGATCAATTTAAAGTGGATCGAAGTAGGAGTATTTGTGAAATTGACAGGTTTTTGGCTTGGGATTTCTCTGATACTTGGGGTCATCTTCTATATCTATAGCAGAAAAAAAAATGGAAATGTCAAAAACTCTGGACGAGTTTAGAGTTGGGTCTGTACCCACTGTGTTCTACATTCCAGACTTTATTACTGAGTCGGAACACGACCACTTATTGAAAACTGTAAAAATCCTCTCTTTACTCAACCACTTTATCCTTTTCTCTTTTTCATTTTCTTCCCAAATCTTTATTGTTTACTTCTTTCTTTTTTGTGTTGTAGGTATACGATGCGCCAATTTCTAAATGGAAATCCTTGACAAACAGGAGATTGCAAAACTGGGGTATGTTTTTTTTTTTTTTTTAATATGCTCTAGTTATTCCTCATTTGAAAAAAAAAATGCTATTCAGACTTAGAGGTCGTTTGGTAGAGTGTATTAGGAAAAATAACGCATGCTTAATTATAATAAGAATAATTATAATAATATTAATTATAATAATAATAATGTGGGGTATTTTTGTAAACAAATATTTTTTAATAGTCTTTATACAAGGCTTGCTATTTCCAATACATCAAACCAAACAATGTATAAGAAATAATGCAAGCATAACTAATGCAAGCATTACTAATGCATGCATTACTAATACATCATATTCAACATTATTCTTATACACTCTACCAAACGACCCCTTAATTCTTTTGTTTGGTTTGTATTGGTATCCCATGGCAGGAGGCGTTGTGCATGAAAAAGGGCTTATAGCTCAAGACTGTACGTACACATTCAACCCTTTTCTCTTGTCTCACTATTAACATTTGAATTCAATTCAAATTTTGGGGTTATCAGTTTTGCTTATCAAAGTTGAACAAACCTAATAAATTGTGCAGGTTGCCACAACCACTTTCATTAACTTCCATTTACTGACATTATACAATTTTCAAGCATATGTTCGCTTAATTTGTGAATGACATGCAAATTATTTGGAGTGTGATACTTCAGTAGGTTTAACATTTCATAGCTATGAAGCATTTAGGCCATATTAAACTACAAACTTCAATATTGAGATATGCCTATAGCACACAGGAGTACAACACGACACTTCTGTACATTTCGTATCCTACAAAAAGTTGAAATTTGTAATTTCTATAGGCATCAAAAATCATAACTTGAGTATTGAAATTTCTGAACACTTGACCAAAGAGAGCATTAAATTAGGGAGGAAACATTCGTAGTGTAAGAGGGAAGATGACGAAACGTGTGAGAGTAGATAAAGCAAAGAGAGCATTGTGGTACTCCAAAGAGGGATATGAGCGTACTGTTTCGAAATTTGACCTTGGATTGGATGATGGATTTCTTATATAGCTTGTAGGTTCAAAGCTGTATGTTTTCTAGACCAAACCTCGTGACCTTATAGTTTGTTAGGTCGTTTGTATCCAACAAGAAATTTCTTTTATATTTTTCAAGTTTTCTGCTATTGAGAAGGCATGTGCATAAAAGCAATAGGCTATATAGAGTACTATGTTTTATCAATCTCGTTTCAATATGGCCATAAAAACAACCACAAGATTATCAAAGGAAAACATAGAAGTCTAGGAGATTAAGAGAAGATGAAACTGTAGTAGCGTCCAATTCATTACAACAATAGAATCCAAAAGAACCTTCAAAAGATTGATAAATCATATGCCCAAAAGATTAATGTTTTATAGTTTTACCTTTAGAAAACCCATAATATTGACCAGAAAGTCCCTTAGTGAATATTTTCCCTGGATTGCCCATGACACATTGTGCATAGGGCTAATGCGTTGTGTCTAAGCCTAGTGGGGTGAGTTGGTGTAACTTCTACGCATGAATTTGGTGCAGTTCGGTAGAGTTGTGCTAATTTTTTTATGATGTAAGAGGTGTGTTAATAACAAACATCTAGAGGATGCAAGATTTACAAAAGTAGGGATAGTCAGTTCTAGAAAGGGCAAAAATAAAACCCATCATAATACAAGAGAGCTAACAAAACCCAAGTATTATTCAGGGTTATACAAAGGAGTAAGGTTAACCCAACTTTGACAGAGTATGTACCATCCATGCTGTTACCCCATTTGAGCATGTCATTTTTCAGGGGGTTGACAGCAGTAGACTGTAATCTTCCATAAGTGTTGCAAGTTCTTCAAACTTCTAATCATTCTGGTTCCTTCTCAGTCTAGGGCACCAAGTATTCCCCTCTCAATTTTGCGAAACAGTGGAAAAGTTCCGTTTTAGTCTAGGGCACCAAGTATGCCCCTCCCAATTTTGTGAAACAGTGGAATCGGGATTGGAGGCAATAGAGAATATCATAGGGTAGAGCTCTTTCAATAGATTCTGACCAAGCCAAGGGTCTTTCCAGAAGAGGATATGGTTCTATTGCCTATATGTACAGTTGTTTTAGAAGTGAAGTCAGTCCACAATTTCCTGATTTCTTTCCACAATCCACAACCATGAGGTTATCTACTAGTGTTGGTAACCCAATGGCTATCATGTCCATATTTAGCTTGGACCACTTATTTCCAAAGTCCCATGCCCTCTTGATTATACCTCCTATGTCATTTCAAGAGCATGCTTTTGGTATGGGATGCTAGGTCCTTCACTCCTAATCCACCTAGTGATTTTTGAATAGTAACCTTATCTCATTTCGCCAAGTGAAGCTTGTGGGACTCGTTATTGCCATCCCATAAGAATAAGCACCTAATGCTATCAAGCTTCTGCAATATTTCATCTGGTGCAGGGAATAAAGACATGACATAAGTCGGAAAGCTATCTAACGCTCTGTTAATCAAAGTAATTCTGCCTCCAAGAGAGAGAGAGATATTGTTGTTGCATGGTGGCCAGCCTTTTCTCAGACTTTTCAACCACCCTATTCCATACCTCAACAGATCTGTAGCTAGACCCCAATTGGGTAGGTAGTTGGGGAAGTCCCTGTTTTGCAACACATTTGCTATGTCATTTCTTCCAACCCATTAACCATACACCAGATAGTTAACACTCTTAAACATGTTGATATGGAGACCAGAGAGATCCTCAAAGAGCATTAAGGTGATATTGAGATATTGAACCTGTGACCTCTCCACAAAATATAAGAGTTGCATCAGCAAACAATAAGTGTGATACAGAGGTTAATTGACCAGTTCTGCAGCCCACATCAAAACCCTGCAACCAATTAAGTTCTTCAGCGTTGTCAAGCATCCTGCTAAGTCCCTCCATTGCTAAAATGAGAAGGAAGGGGGACTAAGGGCCCCTTGCCTTATTCCTCTCTTGGGAGAAAAGAATCCAACTGGGCTCCTGTTAACCAAAACAGAGTATTTAACAGTAGAAAAGGAGAACCTGATCCATCTGATCCACCTATCTCCAAAACCCTTTTGCCTCAAAATAGAGATCAAGTACTGCCAGTTGAGTTTGTCAAAAGCCTTTTCTGTGTCTAGTTTGAAAAGGTGTCCAGGGACACCATTTTTTAGTCTCCAATCGAATGCCAGAATATAGGATACACGCTAGAGGAAGGGGTTGAATCTTCGACCTTGTGCACACGCTCTAACCAACTGAGCTACTCTTTTTTGTTCATGAGTCTGCTACTTAATATTTTGGTGAAAAGGCAACTCATTTTCTTGGAGATTTATTTTCTTGTTCCATTTGAACATCCCAAAAGGGGACCCTGAGGTATCTGTTTCATTATTGAATTTAGTGGCTTTTTTATCCCTTTGTAGTAGATGTTATTCTATATGATGAACAGGTTATAAGTCCATTGTATTCGTCTAATCATTTATGGTATTTGTAATAGCTAACTATTCATCTTTGCGATGGAGATGTCTTTACATTCCATTTGGCTCTCAATTTAATATCCTAGTAATGTAAACAATTTTTGTTAATTATTTAATATTATATAGAATAAAGACCTGTTAAACCTTGACTGTCTGCTCCAAATTCACTTTTGAACTCAACTCTTTGGCATGTTGAACCTTCTCTTTCAGCCAAACTCTTCCTCAGTCAAAGATTATCTAATAATTATAAAACTTCAGCATAAAGGCAGTACTGGTTGCCATATTTACTGAACAAAGTGACAGCAAAATCAGTGTATCCTTGATACTACTTAAAAGGATTTCTACAAAGATTCTAAAACTTCTATCCAGATGCAGAATCATCTGTGAATATTTCTTTACATCAAAAAATGAAAAAGTAAGACACAATTCAACTGTATCTTCTGGGTGGAACTGAATCTATTTTCATAACATCTTAGATTTATTTCCGTCCAACTGGTTCACCATATGCGTGCAAGTTTTATTTCCATCTCTTCTTTTGTTTGGTAGCTCTGCCCAAGCTGCTCCAACATGCCAATAATTCACTAGTCAGCCTTGGCATTGTCCGTCTAATGCCTTTCGTGCTTAAGAAAATTTGCTAAAGCTGGTAAGTGATTACACAGTGAATAAACAGTTGGCTGTTGCTTTCCGACTCCTGTCTACAAAGATAGCATTTTGAGCATAGCTGATATTCCCTTCCCTTCAAGTTTTCTTGAGTCAGGCAGGATCCTTAAGCTACCAACCAAAGAAAAAAAGCTACTGCCTCTGTCCCAATTTATGTGATGGTGTATGACTTGACACAGTTTAAGCATGAAAGGAAAACTCTTGAAACATATGGTCTAAATTAAGCCATAGATATTTGTGTGGCTATAAATCATCTCATTAAGGGTAAAAATGTGAAGTTTGACGTTAAATTGTTACTAAAGATAGAAAGGTGTCTTACTTTTTAGTGCGGACTAAAAGTAAAGAAGTGTCACATAATCGAGAGGGGGAGTGTACCTTGTATGGAATTTTTAACTTTCCATGTGTTTCCAGGGACACGATGTAGGTTGTTGACTAGTGTGGAATAGATCATCATAAGATGATTGACTGTGTATACATCTTTCCTGTGCTTCAGCCTACCAGCTTGTCCTCTTTTTCCTCAAAGCCTTTGAATTTCTCTAGCACAGAGATAAACTCTTCAACTCTTTTATTTCCCAATTATGTAGCAGTCTTCTAAAATTCAAGTGCCAACCCCAAAAGCTGAATTTAATCTTGTTGCTGACTTAAACTTAAGATATCTGGAAACAGGATCTTTAAAGACCTCTATACCGAGCTAGTTATCTTTTCAAAAAGATGTTCTTCCATTTGCCACTTTGATACTGGTATTTATTTTGAAAGAGGATCATAAACCTTTTATTATTCTCCATACACTTGTGTGGACCTAGAAGTTTGTAAAGCATCAAATCTGGTGGTCTGAAACATAGGTAAGCCTCGATCTCCTTTGTAAATCTCTCTCTCGAACTTGTGACCCAAACTACCTTAACTGGGTTAACTATATGTTGAGCCGCTGCTATTGGCTGTGGAGCTAACACAAGTGCTGGCAATGGGGTCTGTAAGCCTGGTGCAAACTGTTGCGCTGGTGTATGAGTAGATGGATTGCTGGAATCTGTCCACCCACTGTATCCTGTGTATGTTGAGTAGCTGGAGGCACTATCCCATCTAGATGCGGAATAATAATCTCTAACTCTGATACTGTCCCCTCACTGATAACTCTAGTGTACTGCAACTGAGACTCCCCAATTCATGTCCTGGAAATCTCCTTTTGCTGGAAGCTCAATGGTGCCTGTCTAGTGTTTGGGGGTCCACCTCTATCCCTGATTGCTGACTGTGTAGGAGCCGTCCTCGTGACCAGGCTCTGCCCCTACTGTACCACGTGTTGCTGGTGCACTGCATCCCCTTGCCTGGCAGATGCGA